GTTTCAATACCGCTGATCAAGAGTAGCATATATTTTTACTCTCTCCTGTAAAATCTTGGTGATATTACATACGCGGTTTTGCATAATCGTGATACGCGGTTTTGTACTTTAAACGACGATATATTGGGAAATCTTTTGAGATGGGGACATTCTGCGTACTGACATATTGTTTCCGGGACAAAGTAGCTGCACTGCCAAGTGCGGTTTTTGTACCTTCGTCAATACCCTTTACATGTGAAAATATCAGTAAATAGTTATTCACAAACAAAACATACGGTTCTATAACTAATTTATTCGCTAAAATCAGGAAATTTCTAGTGCAACTCGCATAAATTCTTAAAAAAATAAAAAAATATTGAAAATATTGTAAAACACCCTATCACAGAATTTGTTTGAAGAACGCACTATCTCAGGATTCTCTTCCAAACCAAAGCCGGAAGAGGGTTAATGTAAACAAATAAACGAATTGTTTACATTTAAATTTTCAAATAAGCGTACGTCAAATATTGATTTCACTTTGTTTATTACATTATGATCTGATTTTACAGATAAATCAAACTTTATTCAGAGCTTAGAAAAAGTTTTCAAAATTTATTTAGAATTTTGAGCTTTATAATCTGATTTTTTAGAATTTTTTCGCGTGTGCAGTAATGGAGTGTGTAGCCCATTAAATTTTGGTATAATAAAGTGCAAGTTTTTTAGCGGCTTCCAAATCGCGCTGATTTTTAATATTTTTTTTTGCTGACGGCTTTTGCGATCTTTCCATATAACAAATGAAATTTATAAAAACTGGCGTTGATTTAATTTTCTTTGCAAACGCTGTTGCTCATTTTTTTCCATAAGAAATTCATGCTTATATCGAAAAAAAAGTGCAAAAACCCGTCACAAAAAAAAAATCAAAAATCCACGCGATTTTGCAGACGCTTAAAACTTGCACTTTATTATACTAAAATTTAACCATGAACCATATTTTTATAAAAAAATAAAATTTTATGAGCCATAAAACTGTATTTTGCTTTCTTTGAACGTCAGACAATATTTGGCTGTTCGATGCACTTGAGACTATTTATACATCGAGTGCAAAATTTTCGATGTGTTTTTGACATCCCTAGCACTTTTTCAAAGTAATGACATGTCCGCTTTAATGATTCAATAATAAAACCTTTAATTATTGAATCATGGTCGGCTTTAACATTGTTTACATTATATTTTAATACAGAAATATGTAATTATTTTGAATTGCTTTGACAAAAGTTATATTACTGGAAAAATTTAAAACCCGAAATATTTTCCCGAGTTTTGGTCATAACAGCAATGCATCGGAAATAGAAACCTTTTCTAGCACGCAAAACAGTGGTGAAGGGTAGCATTTTCTCCTGAAAGTAGGTGTTGGAGGAAGCAATTCCCAGTTTTATAATCTTGTTTTGCAATTACAGGAAGAACTTTTTTTACGAAACCCCAAATTACCAGAAAGGAAAATAGAGAAAGAGTAAGAAAGAAAAAAAACAAGTAATTAAAAAAATAAACAGCTTAAATAGAAGAACTATTGAAAAAGAAATGACAGCTTCTTTGAAGAGAATCGCAAATAAAATAATATTGTAATTAACCAAAACAAAATACATATTATTTACATGTATTGAAAATAAAAATTTATTTTATTAATTGCAATTGTAAGAATGTGTATGCCCGATGACTTCGCTGTTTGCTAGCTTTGCGTTTACAATTCTTGTACGAAGCATGGTACAAAAAATCCATTTTAGCAGGAAGTTATCAATCCCCAGATTTCTGCGTGACTGCTCTACTGCCTCTAGGCTAACGTTGTTGAACGCTTCTTCTAAATCCAGGATGGCCGCCATCGTATATTGTTTATTTTCCAGCGAAGACAAATATTAAAGTTTTTTGGTTTACAAGGACGAATAGGTATTGAAAATTCACTTTTAAAGAATCTAATTTTTTTAAGCTAATGAAGCCAGGAGGACGAAATTCGATAATGTGGTCGTGTGTGTATTAGTTCTCAACATATAATGTTTTCAAATATAATTATTCCAAATGTTCTAGAATATTTGAGGACAAAATTTCACGACAACATTTTCCATACCCAATTATCCTTATGCAACAAAAACTTTAATCTTTTTTAATTCAACAGAACACATTGGTATTCTACATTGCACTGATCTTTTTTAAATCATTTTTTAAATTAATCATATTTTTAACCGACTTCAATAAAAACGAGAAGGTTATAGATTCATCGGAATATACATACATTTTTTTATGTATGTTACCGCATAACTTTGGACTACGTTAACCGACTTCTATAATTATTTTTTAAAGGAAAGTTGTTACCTCAGAGATGGTCCCATACTAATTTGGTTTAAATCCGATCACTGAATCATGAAGGAATTAACGATAATCTTAAAAATTTATATGAGATTTAAAGTCAGTTTTGTTTTTTGTTAAAAAATTACTTGTTGAAATTTCAAAGTCCTTTAAAAAATGTTGACGTCACAGAAAAAAACTAAATACGCAGTTACTATATTTTTCCTATAGTGTTGCGAATACATATATGCATGTATGTATATTGATTTTTTTTAGTGTGTAAAATTTACTGTCGCACGGTATAAGCTTGGTAAGGTAGGGCATATATCGCACGTTACGTTAGGTGCAATCCCGTATTCCTCGGACTAAATAAAATAAAAATTCGCTCAGAGCGAGAGAGTAACACTGAAATATACGGGATTGCTTTCTAGTAAAAAGGTAAGTTCTGTCAACTTCAACATAACCTCTAAATTTTGGTTGTAAATTTTTGCTTATTTTGTATGTAAACACACTCAGCCACACATGTAAATAACCAAAAATACTTTCAAATTCATTAGAATCCACTTAAACAAGTAATTAAATGCTTTTCACCATGAATTAGCCGATTGCACTTTTCTTTTATATTTTGGTTGCCAAACACACTACAGCTGATAGTTTGACACATTTACCAGAATTTACCAGCAAACAATTTTCGAACTAAAACTGGTAACTTCTGACAGAGAGAGAACCGTATTTACTCTCTCTTTTGTCCTCTAAATAGTCAGAAAACCGAGTACGGGATCGATTTCCAGTAAAATCTGACGGATTCTGACTATTTCTGACTAATCCGGACTCGTACGGGATCGCAACTAATATACAGAAGTATTTCAAAATTTCAGTTTTGTTGGAAAATGCTATCAAAGTGTGATCAATTCATACAGTTGGTATACAAAACGATAGTTGAAAAGACCTATATCTTCGCCATTTTTGGGAAGTTTCCCCATCTGTTAAGCTGAACAAGTTCTACTTATCAAGCTTATTAATTATATGATGAAATCTCCAACAACGTAAATTTTGAGTCCATCTCTATATTAGTTGCGTTTTTTTTTTACTCATTTCCAGTAAAATCCAGTAAAAGTTTTTACGAATTTTCATGTTTTGGCGTTTTCGTACGCAAAAACTTGCAAAGTAGGGGAAATTGAGAGGGCGAAAAATGACAGTTGAAGTTGCAAGTTTTTACTGGATTTTACTGGATAAATTTTTACTTATAAGAATTTGCCAGTACGAAAAACAGCTGATCGCATGTTGCTGGATGAAATTTAAACTAATAAGGAAACTGTTTGTGGGTTTTTATTGTTGAATTTCACAAAATAAACCTATTTAAATACCAAATATATTGTTTTATTAGGAATTCGCTGCGAATAAACAACCAATTTATCAGCTGTTCATGAAACTTGCAAATTGTTACTGGAAAAGCGTTCACGTACTTTATTGCAAATTTTTTCTTTGAGAGCGAATTCTTAGAAATAAAGTTACTGGAGTGTTGCTGGCAAGTTAATGGATAATTTGTAAAAAAACACAACTATTATTAAACGTGCGATATGTAATACTCCTATATTGACAGTAACAGCGAGTACCGTCCGAAAACATTACAGTACGTATGTACACGTACCCTGTAGGGAAGATCTCTAGTTCTGAACTGGTGCGCTTCTAGTACAATTAGACCCAGCACTGGTTCACGATAAATCTCTTTTGCATGCATACAACTGGCAAATTTAACGTGGTGATGTCCTAGGAAGTGTCAATTGCCCAACGCTGCATCCCTTTTTCGATAGTGCCGAACTAGTCCTAAATTCTATAGTTCTGAACCAGTTCTAAAATCTACAGACGAAAGAAAAGATTATCATGGTATTTCAATCTATTCGGTTCTTCCGTGTGCGATTTTAAACTATTTTAAAGAAATGTCTTTTTTCAATTTGCAAATAAATTTGTTTAAAGGGTTGTAAGAATGTACGTTTTCATGCCTTTCGCTGAAGCTGACTTTGCAGAGGTGCTCGCTCTTATTGGTTAGATTCCAGACGGTCCCAAGATGTTAAAATGTTAACACAAACTTTTGTTTTGTATTACCAAACTACGAAAAAGCATCTGCAAAGTGCAGAATGAAAGTGCATTTGAACGAAAAAGCCGCCAAATACATATCTATGTAAAGTAAACAAGCCCCGTTGCATCCATTTTTCGATAGCTCCGAACTATTCCTAAATTCGACAGATAAGATCTAGTTCGTTCTGCATCCCTTTTTCTATAATTCCGAACCAGTTCTAAATTCGTCACCTTAGATATAGATTTCTAATGGAAAAAGTGAAATAAAATTGTTTTTTTAAGAGAACCACATTTCGCTGATTTTGAACTGTTGGGGATCTAGTTACTATCGGACTGGTTCGTTTTTTAGCGATAAAGATCTTGCACGGAATTAGACATTTTATTCACTAGTCTGTGGTTTCCCTGCAGGGATAGGTTTATAAATAAACATGTACACAACACATGCACAAAAACGCTACACACGTACACAATACAAACACAAAAAACGTTACTTGACTGTCTTGTTTTGATTTCGGAATGCTTACACATTGATGCATTCATATATGAGGTAGAGTAACTAAACTTTAGATATGAGGTTTTGTTATAAAACCCTTTCATTTAGATAGCTAAAATCGTTAAATTTTGCAGCTTAGGTAAATACTTTAAAACTGAATATTTTTGTAAAGCCTTCGGCACAGATGAAGACAGCACTGGCCTTAGTTGTTTGAGTTTAATTGTATCTTTTATAGCACCCACCACGAAGCCTACGTCCAATTTGCTAATAAAATGCGATACTTGCCCGGAAAACGTTGCTTGTGTGCCACAAATTCAATGCCCCGCACACGTGCGTATGATGGACCACGAAAAGCCGCAGATTTGTGATCTTCCTGGTGGTAGTTATGGCTACTGCTGCGTCACTGGACAGAATCACACAGGTAAGGTGAATAACGCTATTTAAAATTTACGTACATAATTTTCTCTTTACTATTTAATGTTAGCAATTCGTCCTGGCATCGAACGTACACCATTCGCTGCTGTCCTTCCTATGTCGGTGGTGGAGGAATCGCGTCAGAAGTTCGAACAACTAATGAAAAATGTGGCTAAGCTGCCAGTTCGACGCGGTCAACCGGAATTTTTGCATAGCATAACCTTTCACTCCAATTCATTCGATGATAAACATAACTTTCATTTGTCTAATTCGGCTGTGCAGCAAATTATTGCAGGCCAATTGATCTCAAAAAAGTTTGTATATTTTGTTTCCTATATTTGTGGTTGTGGTTGCTAATCGCTCTAAGTGTTCAATTAGGGAAGATATTCCTGTGGATGACCTCATCACAAACAATGTTCAGGTAGATTTTAGGAAAACTCCGTTGGCACACCACTGCTCTGCACCGCACAAGTGTGCCGATCCGAATGCACGCTACCGTACCTTGGACGGCACCTGCAATAATCCGCTGCCCCATCGTTCGCGCTGGGGTTCATCTGGTCAGCCAATGGAACGTTTACTACCACCAGCTTATGAAGATGGCATTTGGACGCCGCGTATGCATTCCGTGGACGGATCTGAACTGATGGGTGCCCGCGAAGCGTCACGTCGCTTAATGGCAGATGTATACAGCCCGCATCCAAAGTACAACTTGCTTGTGATGCAGTTCGGTCAGTTCTTAGCTCACGACGTCACACAATCGGCTTCAGTGCGTTTAGGTTGGATGTGCTGAGACTTAGAGTTAATTATTATTTTTTTCCTATTTAAACTAATTTCCTCCACAGAGAATGGCGAGTTGGTAGAATGCTGTACAGCAAGTGGAGCTCACCCTTTGCCGCCACACAAACGTCACTTTGCCTGCATGCCGATTATAGTGGAGCACGACGATGACTTCTTTAGCACCTTCAATGTGAGCTGCATGAACTTCGTGCGCCTATCCCTCGCTCCCAATACAGAATGCAAAGTGGGCTATGGCAAGCAACGCAGCAAAGTGACACACTTCATTGATGCTTCCACGGTGTATGGCTCGAATGAGCAATCGATGCGCGAATTACGCGAGTTTCATGGCGGTCGACTTAGTATGTCCAATGACTTTGGTCGCGAGCTGTTGCCATTGATTAGCGACAAAAATGCGTGTGAAAGCGATGATCCTGGCAAGACGTGCTACAAATCGGGTGAGATACTTTGTTGACTTATATATGCATATAATGTGTACAAACACACGTACTATAATATGTATGGATGTATGTGTTATATTTGGCATACCTTCTGTAGGTGATGGACGTACAAATCAAATAATCTCCCTCATTACCTTGCATGTACTCTTTGCCCGCGAGCACAATCGTATCGCTGGCGTTCTGGCACGCCTCAATCCTCAGCTAAGCGACGAGATATTGTTCCAAGAAGCGCGTCGAATAGTCATTGCGGAGCTGCAGCATATAACTTATAATGAGTACCTGCCAGCAGTAATTGGACCACTGGAGATGAAGAGATTCCGTTTGGCACCACAACATCATGGCTATGCCAAAGGCTACAACCTCGACGTGAATCCCGCTATTACCAATGAATTTTCGGGGGCAGCTTTTCGAATGGGGCATTCTACTGTTGATGGAAAATTTCATATACACCAGGGTGATAATAAGGTGGATGAAATCATCAACATTCCCGATGTGATGTTTAATCCTTCGCGCATGCGCAAACGATCCTTCTACGATGATATGCTGCGAACCATGTTTACGCAGCCAATGCAAAGAGCTGATAGCTTCATAACGCATGGCGTACGTATGGGTAAATAGACCAATTTCGTTGAATTGCTATGTTTCTTTCTTACAGCTAAGCCGCTTTCTGTTCCGCGGTCATAATCCCTTCGGCTTGGATTTGGCAGCTTTCAATATACAACGAGGCAGAGATCAAGGGCTTCGTAGCTACAATGATTACTTAGAAGTGATGGGGCACAGAAAATTACACAGCTTTCACGAGTTACCTGAAAATGTGTGATGCTTTATTTGTAATAATAATGAATACATTATAAATCATTTAACTACTTTTTAGACGAGTAAACGGCTCGCTGAAGTTTATCATCATCCTGACGACATTGACCTCTGGGTAGGTGGCTTGTTGGAGAATTCAGTGAAGGATGGTATTGTTGGCAATACGTTTGCCGAAATAATCGCAGATCAATTTTCCCGTTTCAAACATGGCGATAGGTATTTCTATGAATATAGCAAAAAAGTGAATCCGGGCGCATTCACTATTACCCAGCTGCATGAGATACGCAAGGCGACGATGGCTCGACTGATTTGCGATAATGCCGATCACTTGACGTTGATGAAAGTGCCGCCGGCGGCCTTTGTTCGCGCCGATTTCCCCCTGTAAGTTTTGTAACCAAAAGATTATTAAAGGCATCCCTGCAGAAAAAACAAAATACATAGACCGGATATTTAGATATTTAATTCAACTGTCCTATATATACTGTGTTTGCACTTGTACACACTTCCTGTATTGAACTAGCGAATTTAATATGGATCTGCCACAGGAGGTAATGATTTATGGTTCAACTACCCACTGACGCACAGTAATTCTGAACTGGAATTTACTGTTCAAAATTCACTGGAGAATTCCTTTTTTGGCCAATTTGATTATTTTTTTAATGAAAGCTTATAAAAATAGCAAGAGGCCAGTTAAGCCCGATTTTTGAATTTTTATTTGTTTTTGTTAATTTTTTTAGTGCAAAGTGCAGAAAAAGTAGTAATTGAAAAAATCGGTTATCTTATTCCATTTAATAGATGTTGACAAATAAAAACTAGTTGAAAACAACTGATGTGTTCCCCAAAACGAAAAAAAATCACACATAAATTTTGGAATGTTAAAAAAATTTTCACGAAAATTAAAAATTGGTTTTTGAGTTTTTGGAAAATATTCTTGATATCGGTGTTTCCATCGGAAGGTCCACCACGACAAAAAAAAAATAAAAATCTTATATCTAACGTATTTACGGGCCGATTTGTCTGCTTTTTAAAATATATACTGGCTATGTAAGTAAAATCATGTTTGTATAAAATGGTCTTCCTAGGTGGCGCCAAGGTTGAGATATTTCGAAAAATCGTAGTTATGGTCCGATTTGGTTCGAATTTGGCGTATGTAGTTGAAACATAAAGAAGTCATAGATTTCCAACAAATTCACCCTGAATTGGCGCTGAGGTCAAAATATAAAGTATATTCTACATAAAATACATGTTTCATTTGCGTTAAAAATTCATTCTAAAAACAACTAGAATTGCTCCAAATCATATTAAAATAAGTTTCATGAAAATAGCCATCCACAATTCGTAGAGATTTGCGATTTTGTAAGAAAAGAAAAAATCTGCTTCCATTTTTTGTCACGTAACGACACTCTCTTTAAATGCTTATATTCCAGGACCAAACAGTTCGATTGTTTTCATTTTTCGGTTAAATATAGAGCTATACAATGGCCTAAAAAAGTTAAAGAAAACAAATGGCATTCCTTGTTTGTATCACATTGAAACGTACGACTGTCACGTATGCGACGTATGGAAATACCCATATGCAGCTTTATATGTCGATCATTAAATTTTAGTTTAATGAAGTGCAAGTTGTAAGTGGCGAAGAGTTCGCGTTAATTTTTTCGCTAACATTTCGAGCACATCTGCATGCTAAATGGAAAATAAAAGCTTTCGCTTTGTCTCGTGTAGTTTATTTATATATTTTATTTATTATTTTTTGTTATATTTTTATTTATTATTCATATATTTTTTGTTAAAAATCATGAATTCATTGATCTATGAAACTGCATACCCAAAATTTTTATAAAACTTAAAACAAAATTTAAGATTGTTGAAAATTTTTTTAATAAATTTTTTTTTGTCACTTTGTTTTTTGTTCAACAATTTTTGTTGAGCTCGAGGCCGTTTTTAATGAAAAACTTATTGTGGAAAAGCAACAATAATTGAAAAAATGGTAGAAGTGATAGCTATTTTGGAAATCACCACATTTCCTCATCAGACTTCCTTCAGTAGGCTTCAAACCGACGATCCCACTGACTCATCCAGTTGCCTATGCACTGTGCTAAGTTCGCTTTGTAACTTATCGTTGCTTTTTTCTACTTATTTTCCTTTTTGGTTTTTTGTTTTCGTAGAAACCCACAATTGTTTTCAATTCTTTTTTATTATGGCTGCGTTTCTTTATACATTCCGGATAATTCCATTTCACAGCCGGAATAAACAGAATCCGTTTGAAATATACGTTAACATATTATCAGGAACGTTCTAAAGAATAAGTAAACAAAAAAGTTTATTTCAAACTTTTAGAATGAATAAAGAAATGCAGCCTATGTAAAAATTTTTAGCTAGAACAAGACAATCGATTTCCAGTGAATTATAAACAGTAGCTGGTATTGAACCACTGTGCGACGGAGCGCTCTTGCGTACTTGCCGACCATATCATCTATCAAATTGCCGTTGATAGAGAGAGAGAGAGAATCTCTATACGGGCAACATACAAGATCTATACATAGAAGGTCACGCAATCCGCGAAATAAAAATTGCCTCTCTGCGCATGTTGTCGCAGGGCGACTTTTTGCTTTCGCTTGAGCATACATATATATGTATGTGTTATAACAAAAATAGTGGACAATTCTTACCCAATTCCGGGAAGTTAGTTCCCTTTAATGTGTCCGTCTTTAAAATGGTCCATACGAATTCTCCGCGTTTTTGGTTTAAAAACTTTAGATCGCCGGCAAAACTTCAACCATTTTTCTTGCTGTTTCGGATCCTTTGGGAAACGGAAAAAATATCTTTTTTTCGATGGGTCACTGCGTTGGCTTACAAAATTCCACACCGCACACTGCATTGCAATTTTTATTATATTTTCTGTTTTTGTCGCCCTTGTCGGCAAGCTGAACAGCTGATTGCCAAATTTTACAAGAGAGGAGTAACGGACCTGCGCAATGCGCAACCTTTAATATATAAACCTTTGGCAACATATGTATATGTAATACTTATATATTGGTAGATAACTAACTTCTCAATGTGTAAAAGCTCAGTTAGTCTAGACTTAACTTAATTTAACTAACCGTAAGAAATCATCAATGATTACTCAACACGTCAACTTAAGCTAGAAGCGGAATTATTTTGTTTTTGTGTTTTCTTTTCCTGCTGTTTGACGGTTTGTCTCCTAAAATGCCACATCAAAAAAATGCATGCAAAAAAAAGTATGTTTGAGTTCATTTTGTTCATATATGAGTTGTGTACATGTTTATTTTTGAACGTGTGTTCCTTTTTTTGTACGTGTTTACTGATATATCTGTAATGTATGTAATGTATGTAATGTAGGGATGTCGGAAGAACATCGATGCATCGAAAATATCGATGTTTTGTTTCGATGCATCGAAAATATGCCACTCGATATGTAAATTGTCGATGTATCGGTGCATTGATGCATCGATGTTTTTCGAAAACTGAGTACATCTCTAGTACATTGTACCGTCATTCCAGTTTTTCAATTGTACAAACAAGAGAAGTGACTTTGAGTTTCCGGTGCAGTAATTTATTTCAAATTTTGTACAATTTTGCTAATAACATATTTTGTTGTGAAACATTATCTGAAAAATCCTATGCAAATCGATGCATCGAATCAAGGAAAAACATCGATGTATTTTTGCCACTGACACCCCTACTGTAATGTTTTCGGACGATACTAGCTCTTACTGCCAATATAGGAGCATTACATATATGAAATAGATCTAATCTGGCCACAGCTACATTTTTGTATAGTCGCGGTGCTACCATGTTGTCGCCAAAATAATTGTCTACATAAGAGTATGAGTTAAAATAATTTAGACAGCTGTGGTCTGTAGCCCGTCGTTTCAAATGTGTTTCAAGCTGTACGGTGTTGTGTTTTTGTTAACACCACAATCCCATAAGATAGGGGCCTCCGACTTTAGGTCGGCGGGTAGTTGAACCATTACTCTTTCTTACCTACCTTAGAAAATAGAATATGAAAAACAAAAGGCCGAGCGAACAGCACATTCATTTTCATTGCGACCCGATTCATAACAATTGCATTATTTCCCCTGTAAATAGTAAAATCTTTGCAAGGTATGTAGTGAATTAGTCATCGTTTGGGGAATAAGTTCGCGATTTTTGCAGGGATGTTTATTTATGCATATTATTTATATTATTAAAAACTATAACATTTTAAGACTTCCAACAAAATATTTCAGAAAAATATTAAGATCTACGTGAGCAGAACTGATCTGGATACATGTATACATCTCCAAAAAACTCATTATTTTGACACCGTTTACAAAATTTTTATGCAGTTCACGTAAATCTTAATATTTTTGCAAAATATTTCAGCAGAAGTCTTAAAATATAATACATTTTTGATGGAAAAACAGTACAGATTTTTTTTTTATAGAGAGTGGCTCACCTTAATGTACATATGTACGTCTATTTCTTACATATGCACTTATTTGTTTTCTTTTGTACAGAAATGAGCCGTTGCACTGCGACAGCGTTCAAGTACCCGTCGTCGATCTAACGGCCTGGCGCGTGTGATGCTCGGAATCGTGGGATGGTCTCCTTATTTCATATGTATCTCTCGAGTATATTTTGCTCGTACGTGCGTACGCATTTAATTAAAATAGAAAAATTAAAATTTAAGGGTTTTGCTCTTAAATATGTACAAAAATTAAAAGAAATATTCTATATATTAATATCTAACATACATTTTTTGCGTCTTCTTTTGGCGATTCTACTGAACCGATTTCGAAACCAACCATCGTTGGAAAGCTATTTTTCTGAAGATGACGAGAATTGTTATGGTTTCAAAATTAGTTGAGGATTACGGCTGCTATCGCCTTATCCAAATTTTCATGTTGTTCAATTTGAGTTGTGTTTGCTATGCTAGCAGTTAGGGGATTCGCTTAAACTTGTAAAGTCTTAAACCGTGTAAAACTCGTAAGTTTACGAGATCAAGACCAAAACGAACACGAAGACGAATGTGAAGACGGTGACTAAAACGAATATGAAAGCGAATACGAAGTCAAATACACATATCATTTATACCATGATACAAAAAAGAAGGTAGTTTCAATAAACAACTTTTGACGGATAATAAAATTTTTTGAAGTTTCATAAATTGTCAGTATTATCAACGGCCTTGCCACTTTGATAATATTAAAACAATAGATCGGAGTATTTTCTTTCCCATATTTTTACCAATGTGAGAATATTTCAAATCAAAACCCACAATCAGTACTTGATATTTTTTTACTTACGTGGTTTGCCCCTCTTTTATTAAAAATATATAAAATGTAAACTGTTATATTGTAATTATTCTTTTTATTTTATAATAAAAACCATTAGTGCATTATGTTGTAATTTTTTTCATTTTCTTATTTTGATATACAATTTTCGTTTCTTTAATCATGCGATTTATTAATCGAATTCTAAAGAATGTTCTTCCCAAATAAAATCTTTTTATAATATTTTGGTCCAAATTTACTTTTAAATTTCTCATCAGATTTTGCAAAAATGTTGGCTTTGTGGTTAGCGAATCACCATTAATTTCAACAAATTTTGAATTCAAAATTTCCAATGTATGCAAAAAACTTGAATTAGGCTTGTACAGACCGGCCTCCGATAAACAGTTAACATACGTATAATTTTGATCACTTTCTACATGCGTCCTGAAGCCTAGTTTTGTCAACCCCATTTTCGAAATTATGTAGCCGGCAAAATTTTCAAGTCCATCAGATTCCACATCTTTGAGTGGACTGATGAAATCTTCTGCTTCATGCTCTTCTGCGAGCTACTTAAAAAAATTAGAAATCAAATAAAAACGAAAGGGTAAGGAGTTTACCTCGAGTTCTTCTTCTGCGGATATTTCAATATCGTTAAGTGGTTTGAAAACATTTTCACTGAGCAACTCCTCTTCAAATTTTAACATTACTTCACTTGAAGACTCAACATTTGTTTCCGTGCTCAAAATAGTTTCTTTTCGCCCTAATAAAGTTCATGCATTCATTTTAGAATCTTCATGACAACAACAATAATTTCTTTAAGTGGTTAAAAAATTACCTAGAAGGTATGATCGAAATCTGTACTTGAATTCGAGAGGTGACGGATGGTCATGCAGCCCTCCTTTCATATATGTTCAATAACTTCACTAAACTTCACTCATTTTCATACATTTTTGTTTACTTTTACAAAAAAAAAAAATATTATCTCTGGTGATCAGGTAGCATGAATTTTATGAAATGTCATAATTTTATTAAAAGTCACATGGTTAGCAACAACAACGAATGTCATTAAATGGAACTACCTTCTTTTTTGTATCATGATTTATACGGTATATGATGGAGAAAACTGAGGCGAATACGAATAAAGAGAATAACAAGACAATTCTAGCAAAGATAATTGAAAGTCTTTTGTAAGACATTTGGCAGAGAGTAGGCAAAATGGTTTGAAAGATTTTGCTTATTCTGGCACGTAAGTCTTACAAAAAACAGCTCGCTTGCCAAATTTCATGGTGAAAAGCTCATTTGACAGAAAGCACTTGCACATGTTCTAAAACGAAATGAATAAGTATATATGTATGTATGTATATCGTTTTGTTTTCACTGTGGCAACAGTCGCAATAGCCGAGAGAGCTAACCGCTAAACATTCGAGAGTTCCGATGAGCCAAACCTCGGGAATAGGAATTTTTCATGGCAATTCTGGCTAAGAAAGTAAAAAATCTTTGGTAAGGCAAATGAAAGACAGATATCAAGTTAGTCTGAAAAACCTCCCAATAAAAATTGGGCTTAATTAACAATTCGAAAATGAGTCTCATTTTCGATAACTAATGTGAAATAGGTATGTATTCAATTTGAAAACCAGGCCATTCCCCAGCATAGCGGAACCTTCGTTATCCAATGTATTTTTCCTTCGGTATGAGTTCGAAATCCATCCCCTCGAGAATGGGCTAATGCTCTCTCTTGTTACTATGGCTTTCATGTTTTTTTTTTCTTTTTAGACCCATTTCGAGTGTATTTCCCATATACCTTTCCAATATATGAACCTTGAAAAAATAAAGTTGGTTAGGGGTTCGTTGTCAGTTCGATATGCATATTGGATATCGCAGGTCATTTTCCAACGTTCGCTTTTAGCACAAAGGTCTTAGAAAAAAGCTCTCATCCGAGTTCGAGTCCTGCAGCAGAGGATTTTTTTTTTTGGTTTTAAATTACATCTTCTTTCCTTTTTTGATTTAATTTTCTTTTAATTTTGAGATTGTATTGTTTCAAAAAGAAAAATATGCATATGTTTTTTATTTTCATTTAATTTTTACTCTTACTTTATGTATTTTTTTGTTTTTGGATTTTATGCTTTTAAAAGGAATATTTTTTGTTCCTTTTTTTGTTTAATTGCCTTAAAATTTTTGGATTTTATTGTCAACGGAAGAAGGATATTTTTTAATCCCAGGTATTTTTTTATTTATTTTTTTTTTTAGTTTAATTTATTTTTCTTTTGTTGATTTTATTTTCTTTTATATTTTTATTTTTTTTTTTAAAGATTTTATTTTTTTTATGCCATTTTTAATTAGTTTTTAGATTTAGTTTTGAAATTTTTTTTCGTATAAGAGCAGTTGAAGTTCAGTATAATGAAGTTTTGGTTTAACGTTACGTTATTTTTTTTATTGAATGCATTTGATTATTTACATAATTGAAAAGATGGGGATATTATACGTAAAAGTCACTTGAATTAACAAATTTTTCGATATAACAAATTAGGCGAATTAGACGTGCACTGTACTAGGTTTGTTCGTCGAAAATCCAGCAAGAACTATCCAACACTCAAAATATCAGAGAGTAAGAAAAAATTCTCTCAAATTCTCTCTCATGTTGAGAAACTTGCAAATTTCTGCACGAACGCAAATTTGCAGGAATTTGCAAGTTTCCCTGCCAGCTGGCGTCCACGGTTGCATTTCAAATATAAAAAATTTTTATAGAATTTTTAAAATTCTTTCGGATGGCCAAAAAAAGGATATACATGTATATTTCTTGTTGTTCTGACTTTCTTTAACATACATTTCAATTTCTTCATCGTACTAGCTGTC